TTAGTATAGGTACAATTTTTAGTTGTACCATAAAGGGATTTGTTAGAAAGTGTAGGTACAACTTAAAGTTGTACCATGGTATAGGTACAAGTTTGGGTTGTACCATAAAAGAATTTTGAGAAAGTGTAGGTACAACATAAGGTTGTACCATTAGTATAGGTACAATTTTTAGTTGTACCATAAAGGGATTTGTTAGAAAGTGTAGGTACAACTTAAAGTTGTACAATGGTATAGGTACAAGTTTGGGTTGTACCATAGAAGGATTTTTAGAAAGTGTAGGTACAACTTAAAGTTGTACCATGGTATAGGTACAAGTTTGGGTTGTACCATAGAAGGATTTTGAGAAAGTGTAGGTACAACTTAAGGTTGTACCATTAGTATAGGTACAATTTAAGGTTGTACCATAAAGAGATTTATTAGAAAGTGTAGGTACAACTTAAGGTTGTACCATTAGTATAGGTACAATTTTGAGTTGTACCATAAAAGGATTTGTTAGAAAGTGTAGGTACAACTTTAAGTTGTACCATGGTATAGGTACAAATTTTAGTTGTACCATAAAGGGATTTGTTAGAAAGTGTAGGTACAACTTAAAGTTGTACCATGGTATAGGTACAAGTTTGGGTTGTACCATAAAAGTTGTACCATTAGTATAGGTACAATTTTGGGTTGTACCATAAAGGGATTTATTAAATTTCCTGGGATAGTGAGAACTGCTCTTTGCATCTCACGGGACATCTCACGGCCGTGATATTTGCCTGAGGAATGAAGCACTGCTTTTTACATCTCACTTGAGTATTTTACGGTCGTGAGATTACCAGTATAAGGTGTCAGATTTCCAGTAGGAGACTTTCACCTGTTGAACTATCCCGTGTACTTATTATAATGGTGTTTCAAACAGAATGGACTTTTTTCCAGAACTTCAAACTTATGAAAAAGATGATTCATAATGTTCTCTAAACCTTGACACGAGCATTACATAGATCCATTCACAATGTTCTCTAGTAACTGTACATCATATCAGATGAGATACCCTGTTAACAAAAAGTAAAACGCAGTCAAAGCATTACATTTGTCTAATAAAACAAGCATCCATAACACGATTAAATCTGTCTAATTAATGCTTAAGTTTAGCTGCATGTAGCCCACACTAGTGCATCATCATATTCTAATTGGAAAACATACAAGCACAAACGCAAACACACATAGCTAAGTACTAAGGACTTTTGTTGGGTCATCTTCACTGCCCATCTTCCTCGTCAGTGCTCTCGTCCTCGTCTTCGTTTTGCTGGATTTGCTCATCTTCATTGTCCTCGCTAGAGTCACTGCCCTCTTCCTCAATGGTCCCTTTGTCCTCTTGATTTCTTTCCTTGTTTTGTTCATTGCCATTGTCCTCGTCGTCCTCTTCACTGCCCTCTTCCTCATTGGTCTCTTTGTCCTCTTGATTTCTTTCCTTGTTTTGTTCATTGCCATTGCCCTCGTCGTCCTCCTCTTCACTGCCATTTTCCTCATTGGTCCCTTTGTCCTCTTGATTTCTTTCCTTGTTTTGATCATCGCCATTGCCCTCTTCTTCCTCTTCACTGCCCTCTTCCTCCTCTTCACTGCCCTCTTCCTCATTGGTCCCTTTGTCCTCTTGATTTGTTTCCTTCTTTTGTTCATCGTTGTTGCCCTCGTCGTCCTCCTCTTCACTTCCCTTTTCCTCATTGGTCCCTTTGTCTTCTTGATTTATTGCCTTGTTTTGTTCATCGCCGTTGCCCTCGTCGTCCTCTTCACTGCCCTCTTCCTCATCGGTCCCTTTATCCTCTTGATTTATTTCCTTGTTTTGTTCATCGTCGTTGCCCTCGTCGTCCTCTTCACTTCCCTCTTCATTGCTTTCCTCGGTTGGCCTAGGAGATAGTTCCCAAGGTGTTGAGAATTTTTTGTAGTCAATCCTCAAGGACCTCATGATGTGATGGTTGCATTTGATGATGTAGCGTCGAGCTTCCTTTTCTCGATCGAGGCGGGAGAGAATGAGTGCATTTTGCTCGAGAATTTGGGCATTCTGCCGACCCAATGCCTCAAAATGGGAAATGTATCTGTCGGTGGATGGTCCGGCTTGAGTCGTAGTTTGGTGATGTTGTGCAGGTTGTTGCGGAGACTCCTCGACCATTTGCTGAACAACATGCTCCGATGCGTTTGCCTCATCTGTTGCAAGAGGTGGAGCAGGATGAGGGAGGCCAACAATGCCTACCACACCATTCTCCTTAACCACCAAACACAGACATGATCAATATCAGAAGCATTAGTTACATTTGCTCAATGTTCAAAAGGAACTAGATTAGTAGGCAATCCAAAACTTGCACAAAATCAATCCTAGATTGTTTGAATCCCGACTAGTTCTGTTTTAGCATTCACTGTGAAAAGGAAAGTGTTGGTTGGAACATTTACCTTTGACAACAAATATAGATCCGCAAGGTTTTTTTGGGAGATTGGTTGAGTGGACTGGGCAATGGTGCAATGAGAACCCACCGGATCAATGCCAAAATGCCGAGCTAGCCTTGTGATGTAGGCACCTCCATGGATGGTCTTGATTTGTTTGTTGGAGGTCATCTTCTGTAGGGTTTTCAGTATGACTAAACCAAGATGAATTGGGGGATCTTTTACCATAGAGAGGAAAAAGTTCAAATCCCGCTTGGTCACACTCCCCGGGCTCCCCTCCCTAGCTGCCACAGAATGAGCGATAATGTTGTGGATGATACGCCATGGGGGAAGAAGATCATTCCCTTTATAGTGGGCAGTGTCAGACTTGTCCACATGGTTTTGTTTTACCCTTTTCCACATAGCATCGACCAATTGTGCTCTTGGTGAATATACTTTCTCTGAAATCAAACCATGACCTGTAGTGAGAAATCCTGGTGGGTATATCTGGAGTGCCTCTGTGAACTCAGTGATGCTCATCTGTCTCGCCTGTCCTCCAAGGCGAAAAGTTATGTTGTCTTCGGGCTTGTCGAGGTGAAATTCGCACATAAACTTGATGGAGAGAGTGCTGAGGAACTCAATGGTAAGCTCTCGGTAGATGACCTCATTGATGGAGAGAACCTCACACCATGCCGGGAGACGGAGGCATGTGCGAACGGGGTCCGCTGCTCCGAGGCGCTCTAGGAGATCGCAATCAATGCATCTTTGCTGCCCAAATGGGAGGGGAAGGAAGCGCTCTAAAGCCCTCCTATGTTTGTCGGGTAATTGGAGGAAGCCGTGAAGTCCCCCTCCTCCAAGTTGAGCCTCCGTTTGTGGTGGTGGAGATGGTTGACGTGCTCGTCCTTGGTTGTTTTTGCGTTGTCGTTTGGGGGGAGTGTCTCGTTCTTGGGTTTGGCGGCGACGACGATAAGTAGCCTTCACTTTAGCAGGTGAGGCTGATGGTTGCGTGGTTTTTTGTTTAGCTTTCCCCATTCCTACAAAAACCAACTAAGCACATTAAGTCTTTAGTGAATGAGAGGGAAAAGAATTATGCATAAGCATATGCAATTCACAAAGAGACGTCTACACCCTAAAAAAATGCAACAAACCAGGAGCATTCTAATCCCAGGAGCATTCTAATCACAATTAGGAATTCAAAACCCTAATTCAGACCAACCAGGAGCATTCTAATCCCAGGAGCATTCTAATCACAATTAGGAATTCAAAACCCTATAAACAGAACAATAACATAATATACTGTTTGTGAAAACTACAAGCTTATGAAAAGACACTGGAAGATATAGACTTACAGACTTCTCCCTTGACGTCTCTTTGAGTATTCCATCCTCTTCGATCTCCACGTTTGTAACTCCCCTTGGAGCTGGGGTGATACCGGACAGATCAAACTTTCCTAGCTAGATGCAACCTTGGTCAGGGGTTTTGCATCCCTCCCACTCAAAACCTCTCTCTATGTATTTCGATCTCTCTGTATTTCAATCACTCTCTGTATTTCGATCTCCATCTCTTTGTTGCATTCCTTGTCCAAGGATTGTATCGAGCTAGGAAAGTTTGTTCTCCTTGCTTCCTTCCTTAGAGATCGATGAGGTGGAATACTCAATGTGACGTCAAGGTAGATGATCCCTGGAGCATTTCAATCACGTCTACACCATCATGATCAGTCAGAACCATGTCAATGCTCTACACAAACCAATTGCTGGAGATAATAGAAAGCAGCAACAGCCTCGCATTACCAATTACAACCCTAGCGGTACCAAAGACAGTACAGGCTACAGCTTATACCAGCTTCAGCTCCTCATTACCTAAACATAATCAACAGACTACCAGCGTACCAGCGAAAAATCTCAGATCCAATCGCATGGCTTAATTAAATCATAAAGAGTTGAAAAGAGCAGAATGAGTGGGGAAGGGATGATAAGGAACTGACCACTCAGGAGCATTCTAATCACAATTAGGAATTCAAAAACCTAATTCAGACCAACCAGGAGCATTCTAATCACAATTAGGAATTCAAAACCCTAATTCAGACCAACCTTGGGCAACTAAACCCTAAAAAATGCAAGAAACCAGAGAAGATTGCCGCTGTGGTTAAGAAGAACTCACGAAGTGGAACAGAGGGCAGAGACTCGTGGGGAAATGGTCGCCGTCGCCGCTGAACCTTGGAGAAGTTACCAGAGGAGTCGTGGGGAAGTGGTCGGCGGCGGAAGAATCTTCGAGGGTGAGCGAGCGAGTGCGACCGATCGAGGGCGATGGCGAGCGAGTGAGGGCGAGGCTTGGGGGGTCGAAGTAGAACAGAGGGAGTAGATGGTTGGGGGTCGGGGTCGGGGGAGAAGATGGTTGGGGGCGATGGCGAGGGTGCGATGGCGAGGCTTGGGGGGTCGAAGTGCGATGGAGATGGTTGGGGGTCGAAGTAGAACAGAGGGTTGGGGGTCGGGTCGAGTAGAAAATAGGTAGTTTTAAATAGGGTGTTTCCAATTTGAGGGTTCCATCTCACGGTTTTTGTCCCGGGCGTGATATAAACCGTGAAACCCCCTGGAACTCCCCCTTTTTAAAAAACATTCTAACGGTCCATCTCTCGGCCGTGAGATCTGAAAGTGTGAGGCGTGTTTTTTGGTTTCAGCTGTGAACATCTCACGAGTTAATCTCACGGGCGTACTACATCTATGCTAATCGGTCAATCTTTATCGATGTACTTCATAATGAGTTGGAGATCAGCAAGCAAGCAGATCAGTTGACAAAATATATCCCACACAACTAACCATCGTAAGATATTCGAATTAGCAACCCCCTCCAAAAAATTTAACAATATGAGAAGCAACAAGGACAAACTTTGAGCAATAGCTTAATGACTAGAGACCTCACAGAATTGAGAATGCTTCATTTCTCTTGCGTTTCCTCCTCAAGTCACCCTGATTTCATGAACTAATTCTTGACTAACACACTCAATTGCACCTTTCATGCAGCGAAGCAAGACCCTTTAATTAACAGTCCAAAATGTAATCAACAAGCAACGGTAACGACACTACAATACCAACAAGACCAAATCAACTCTTCCAAAATTTTCTCTGCAGACTCAGTTTGAAGGCAAACAACAATCCAACTTGTCTCAAGCCAAACTGAAAAGAATCAAACTTTGAGTATGAACTTTCCTATTCGATTTGCCTCCATAAAACACAAATCAAGTCTCTCCAATCAAAAAGCTAATACTGGCATGCATAAAGGAAGGAACACAATCGCTAGCTAGGTCAGATTGGAGCAACTTTTTTTGAGATCACGCATGGTTGGGAACAATAATACTGGAATGCAAGGTTCACTAGGTGAATCACGCCAAAACCAGCTGTGACCATCTCACGGGTTAATCTCACGCCCGTGAGATTAACAGATGAGCCGTGAGAAGTCCAGCATTTCAATTACACAAACACGGCTCATCTCACGGCCGTGATACTGTCGAACCCAACCCGTGAAAACCCCTGGAACTCCCCCCCTTTTTTTAAAAAATCTAACGGTACGTCTCCCGGCCGTGAGATTTTCAGATGTGAGGCGTGTTTTTGAGTTTCAGCTGTGACCATATCACGGGTTAATCTCACGCTCGTGATATTTACAGATGAGCCGTGAGAAGTGCATTTTTACAGATGAATCTCTAATCAGAAAAATAATACTAGAATGCATAAAAGAATGAACTAATGATTAAGCATGAGGAGAAGAAGTCCAAGGTTCACTTGATGAATCACGGCATAACCTATCAATTGCATCACAATCTTGCTCTAATAGTAAACCGAAGTACTAATCACATAAACGTAGACGGAGCCAGCATTCAAACGAAATAAAAAGCTCAAATGAATGCAAAGAATCACATAAGACTAATGCAAAGCTCATGCAAAGAATCACAGAAGACAAATGCTTCGATTACCCTTTTCTAGAATACATCCACACAACAACCATACTAAAAATAGTTGCTAGCTTAACCACAATGGGAACATGATTAGGACTCCTCTCCCAGCGCTCACAAAGACAAGATGAATCGCATGCTTGGAATGACGATTATGTAACTCAACAAGGCAATAGCTCTCTCGACACGTGCAACTCACACCGGTTTTCCAAGTGAAATGGAGTTTCACTTGATGAATCTCTAATCAGACAAACAATCTTGAATAACAATTCACGGCTGAAGTTAAAAGGGCAAGATTTCAGTAACTTGCCTGGAATTGAAGACTAAGATTGCAGCTCTATCACAAGAGAAATTGAATTCTGAATCCAACGTGTAGTATCTGAAAGAGTTACCAGATCAAAGTCCCTACACATAATACAAAAAGTGAAAGTGAACTCACGTAAACAGCAAAAATCATAGACAGGTTACGATTAAGGTGATGCTAATACTGCAGCTCCTTGTGGCAGTACAAAAGCATCCTAGAAGAAAGAAAGGATTCCTACTGTATTAACCATTACGTACTACGGATGGGGCATTAAGTAATTCAGGCTAGCTTTTTTCCTAGTTCATCTTCCATTATCCGCGAATCCGAGACTCAACACTTCACCTGGGATTTCACTAGCTAAATGAACTTTCCGTGGAGCACTTTTGAACTAGAATCCCCAGAAAATTGACCAAGATCCAACATTTAGATGGCTAGCAATTCTATTGTTCAGAGTCTACAAAGTTTCCAATATCTATTTGATCCTAATTACTGCTCAATATCATCAAGGATCTCTAAATTCAGCACAATAACAATCCATAGTTTGCCCATCGCTTTTCCCCAACTAAAAACAATCAAATCCCTAACCCACCACAGAAATCCAAAAGCCACGCTCAAAAAGTTCAGAAAAGAGAAGAAGAATAGCAAAAACCACCAAACGAATTTTCAAAACCCAGAAAGTCAATCGTCTTTTTTTACCTGAAGAGCGGACAATCGCTCGGTGTAGAACTGCTCGACGGTATCGGAAAGGCAAGTCTCGTTGAACTTGGAGCAGACTTTACCCTCAATCAAGCAGCTCTGAATCTTGTTCCAATTCTTCCCTCCGGTGACCCGCTAATCAACCCCTTCACTATTGACAATGAGACCCACCGCGAAAGAGCACAATCAGCAGAGACCCGCCGCGAACCCAATCTCACCGTTCCCGTCGCCGATGCTCAACCACTTCAATATCGTCAAAGAGACCCACCGCGGAAGAGCATAGTCCACAATCGCGGAAGAGGAAACTTGAAACCCCTAAATCTCTTTCTTCTCACAGCGTCGCCGTCGCAATTACCCCTTGATGCAGGCTCTCGACGAGCTCAATCGTTTGCAATCGACGAAGAGATGCTCGCTCTCGTCGTCCCTTGCTCGCCGCCTTCACTGTCGTTGTCGGAATCCGGCTCGCCGCAGTCAAAGAGATGCTGCAATCGACAAGCTTCTTCTACTCGTCGTCACCCACTGCTCGCCGTCTTCACTCGTCGTCACCCACTGCTCGCCGTCTTCACTGTCGCCGTCTTCACTGCTCGCTAGCTGCGTGGAGAGGATCGAAGGAAGAGGATAGAAGGAAGAATGGTTTCGGCGGTGAGAAGAGGTGAGAAGAATGGTTTCGGCCGTGAGAAGAGGTGTGAACCCAAATAATTTCAAGCAACCGGTTGTACCGGTTGTCCCAAACAAATAAAATAATATATTAATAATTTAAATAAAATCTAATGGTTGATAAAGGTTGAACATGATCTAATGGCTGTAAATGTTTTATAGCACCAATACTATAAAGCACACTAAAATGCCTCCTGATTCGATATGGTGATGATTCGATATGTGCTGCTACGGGCAAATGGTTTTGCAGTCCGGACGACTTTTCCGAGATGCAGCACGCAGCCTCAGGTGATATTGGACGTCATACACGAGCTGGATTGTTACCCAGCCGACGAATTTCCGGGTGATGGATCGATCTTGGTCTACGAATATGCTTCCTGTACTTTTGTTGATGTTGTTGTCTCTGATCGATCAAAGTAGGTAGACATTTTAATAAATCATACGTGTATGCGGTGAACAAAATTTGTACTTCTCATACCGCATGCATACAACAGATCCCAGACTTGATCTTCATTCTCAATATATAGTTATCTTGTACTATAGCTAGCTTAGCTTGATGTCCAGCTCGTCGCCCAGAGAACATTAAAAGTCAGATTCCTTTTGGAATGCACTATTGACTATACCATACCACGATGTTATCGTTATGAATGCATTTATGTATTTGGTTCTTATCCTTAATTAAGAGAGTGTCTTACATATATACTAAAATTAGGATCCGGATCATGTCACTAACTTTAGTGTTAGTAATTATGATTAACCTGTCCATAGACGTAGTTTTTAGTTTGCAGCTCTCACTGAACCTCCATAGGAGTAGAGTAATTTAACTTAGTTTTCATTCCCAGAAACCATCAATCAAACACCATCGTTCGAACTTTAGTTGAAGAGGCATGAGCCATGTCTTAGTAATCGTTGTCCAAAGAATTCAAAAGTGCAATCAATCTAAATTCAAAGCAAGTTTTCTCACCGGAAAACAAGAGTACAAATAAAGGAGTTACGATGAAGCTGCCACATGAATAGAATTACGCCGTTTTAACTTCTGATAGTCGTTTGGGACTTCAAACCTAATCGTGCACAAATGAGGAATGACATGTTTTTGTACACAAATCGTGCCCAAAAAAGTGACCATTCTTAACGATTTTGACCACGCTTTTGTTCACAAAATATTTTTACGTAGAAACTTAATATTTTTGGCGGGCCTAAAATGTAACGGTTTTTACACTTTGATGCACGTTTTTTACTCACTACTGCTTTCGGCATCGTGTGGTAGTGACTGTGAAAAAAAAATACTCCTACTAATTAGATTTTGTTGGAAAATGTTTAGTTATAGATTTTATACCATACATTAATACACTTTTCGAACTCAAGTCACTCATATGGTATCGAAGTTCCGGACCAACTAGTTGAGAAATCTTGACATGACATAAGAGCTTTCTATGATCGAGAGATCTTTTGTTTGAATTCAGACAACCCATTCTAAGATTAAGCAAACTTCATGTCCATATTAGTAGCTTGAGTTTGAGGGGTTGTTGTATAAGATTCAGCATTAAACTTATTTCGACACTAAAGTTAATTGAAATTAACTGGATTTTAATATAATATCATAGTTTTTTGTGATAAACATTTCAAATCCATGTGAAAGGCTCCTCGTTTAAGAAACCGACTTCTAATAATGAATTCTCTTTCAACGAGGGAGACAACTTTGGAATGGAATCTGCTGAAACCGGATGCAGAATCGATGTTTCCGCCTTTCGTACGTTGATGAATATCGTAAAATTCGTAAGCTATTATGAAAGATGAGGGTGCTGTCTATCCTACTCCTAATGATATAATATTGCAAGCAATGAAATTCTTCCATCAACCATCCGAATAGGTGTGAGTTGGAAATTTATCAATGTGCATTTCACACACATCAATCACTCATCAATTACAATTTTGATTATTTGATGGATGTTAAATCGCGAATTAACCACACACATACTCACCCATCCTTATTTAAATCCCATTACATAAGTGGCTTTCGTTTGATAGGGAAGAGATACGGTATAAATATAAAACTACGAGTTATTATTTCAGCTGAGTTGTTTTAGTTTTCATACATGCTAGGTGGCGCGATGCCGCGCCTTGTCGCGGGCGGAGATGGTTTATCAGCATGTATTATGTGGTCCGTTATGGTACTAAAATATAATGTTCCATCAATATTTTGAGGATTTATATGCCAAAAAGATAGACTTAAGTTATTAATCTAAAGATCTATTAAGTTAAGGTACCAAACTATAATTTGCTTATGGATAAAACCCATCAAATTTTACCCATTTACCATCTATTTAGATTTCATACTCAACCCAATTGAGTTGGACAATAAAATACCCATGACAAAAAAATTGATATCCTGCCAAAATACTCCCATAAATGTTAGTGAACACCATCACAAGAAAAGAACAAAAATGTTACACGTAGGTTAGAAAATTGATTTCTCAATTCATCACGATAGGTTGATAATTATACAAAGTTGATGGGTTGTAGAAAGAACGACAATATCTAAGATTTGTAGGAGCCTCTTTTTTTATGTAGAAATGACAATACGTAAGATTAGTAGGGGCTCTTATTATTATTTTTAAATGTATTTAAATTAAAATTAAACTTGAGGTATCAAAATGTAAAATGTAAAATGTACATTATAATGACTAATTGGTAATTTTTTAGGCAACAATAACTAGACTTATATACGTAAGAATAGTAGGGGCCTCTTATTTTATTTTATTTTGGTGAAAAATATATTTTATATTCAAATTAAATTTAAAGTATAAAAATATAAAATGTACATTATAACGATAATGATTAATTGGTAATTTTTTAGGCAATAGTAACTCACTTATAGAGGAGATCTGGAATGGATCTTTGAGAAACGCAATAGCAGTGCATCCAGCAAAGAATAACAATGTCTCACGTGGATAATAACTGTCGCGCAAAACTTAGTGGATAAAAGATGAAACAAAAGTTCTTAAATGGGAGAAGGGTAATATATAGGAGGTCCTCTAAATATAAGAAGTTACTAGAAGGATATGTGTGTGAACTGTGAAGAAAAGGAAACCAGTTGCATTTGAAAAATTTGGAAGCCACTAATAAATAGTAACTCAAAATTTTGACTTTTATATATTAATTAATTAATATATTAAATAATAATTTTTACACCTTTTTTACTCACTGCTTTCACCAAATGCTATTATAGCCCAATGGCAACCTTTTTTTTTTTATTCTGACACATAGATAATGCATTACGTGAGGAGGTCAGAACATGTGAAGAAATAGTTGCTCTAAATAATTAGAGTTTGTTGGAAGAAATTTAATTATAAATTTTATAAACATATCTCTCAAACTTAAGCCAGTCATATTGTATTAGAGTTTTTATATATAAAAAAAATTGTATTAGAGTTTGGGCCATCTGGTTGAGAATCTTGACATGGTTTAGAACTTTCTATGACCGGTAGCTAATTTGTTCTAGTTCTACAACCTCGTTCTCGGGTTGTGCAAACTTCAAACTCATATAAGTAGCTTGAGTTTAAGGGACATGTTAGTATGTAGTATAAGATTGATCATTAAACCTCTCCCAATAATTATAGTGCGTTTGGATTGGTGTATTTCAAATGTAAAGTATTTGAAATACATGTATTTAAAATGCATGCATTTGAAATACTAGCATGTGAAATACATGTAATTCAAATTTGTCGTTTGGATACTTATTTGTATTTGTTCTATTTCAAATTTTGTGATTTTTCATTTTTATTTTGAATTTTCTAAGCACTTATTATAATTTTTGGTAAATTTAATTTTTCCTATAGTTTAGTACCTAAACTTATAACATTTTACAAAGAAGTCCAGAAATTTTGATGGTGAAATTATGTCTTGGTACCTTTATATGTTTTTCCTAACACTAGAGTACCTAAACTTTTTAAATTTTAACAAATAGGTCCAATCTTTTGGTAGGAGGAGGTATTTTTAGATCACTAGTTGTTGAAATGTATTTGAAGTTGACAAGTAATACACAAGACATATATTTGGAAAATACCCCATGAATTTGACACATCCAAATACCAAACGTAATGAATATCCCAACAAATTATTTGACAATAGGAAATCTAAATCACAAATACCAAATCCAAATCATTATATACAAACACACTTTTAAAGTTAGTTGGAATTTAACATGATATTAAAACCTTATATAATCGATAGGTGTTACGTTAGAATCTCCTAAGTACATAGTGATTTTCAATGAGAGAGACAACTTGGGGATGGAATCTGCTGAAAGCCGGATGCGGCATCGATGATTCCGCTTTACGTACGTTGAGATAGATGAGACCAATCAGCTAGCTAGGCCGATCCATCCCATTCCTAAGATATATAATATTATTCAAGCAACAAAATTCATCCTCTCACATTAATATAAAGCTAGCCCGTTTCCACTCAGAACACATATTAAGTTGCTAACACGAGAGAGAGAGAGAGAGAGAGAGAGAGAGAGAGAGAGAGAGAGAGAGATGGGCGTACAGGTTGGTCGCTTGGATGCTCGAATGGCCACAGTGATGATGTCGTCGCTAATTCTGACAATGATCAACGGATGCTTCGACGGCGGTGTAATCATCATCTCTGCTGAAGCTGCCCTCGATCCTATGTGCGCTGCTTCCAACGAATGGTTCTGTAGTCCGACCGACCTCGGTATCTCAGGCTCGCTGGAGTCAGTATTATCGTTACTCGTCATCCAGTTGGAGTGCGAGCCGATGTACAACAATTATCAGTCATCTCGAAAACTAGTCGCCTACATGCATTCTTCTTGTGCTGATGCCAGTGATCCCAACTGCGCTGATTGCTTGTACAGAGCGACTCAAATAATGCGCGAGTATTGCCCGGGCAAAGATGGAGCTCAGTACGGGACGGAAGAGTGTTGTGCTCGATACGAGAAGAACAAGTTTTGTTGAGCTTAATTAACTAATTAAGAAATGCTGTTGTGTATGTTGTCCGAATAAAGTTACCTGCCGTCATGGTTTTGTAGGCTTCTCATAGATATATGTAACGGGGAAAGAGATAATACACGGTATAAAATAAAACTAGAGTTATTAATTCCACGATGAGATCTTAATCCGGTGATGTTTTACGATGGGTTTTGAATCTAATTGGCCGAGTTTGGCCAAGTGTCATCAGGCTGTTGAACGAGACCGAGCTGTTATGGAAGTAAGCACCTTTGGTGTCCGAGTGTTAACACCTTTGGTGGCCAAGTGTCATTAAGGATAAACATGTTATTTAATATAAAATTAATTATTTTTATTTTCACCGAATGTTAACAATCACAGTTACCAAACAATAAAAATTTTAAAATATATTTAAACAATACAAAGAATTAGAATCTTTAGATTGTTGACAATTTATAGATTTAAACTCATATTCTCCAAACGACCCCTTATTCTCGTAGCTGATTCTCCTAATTAGAGAAGGGAGGCTTCTTCAATATTCCTCAATATTATCACCATCGTCAAACTTAGGATGGTTAACAATCCAAATATTTAACTCTTCTATTGTTAAACTGTGATTGTAAGAAATAACAATAAATTTTTTAATTTTATCTAAAATAATATATTTATTCATAATAAAAAATTAGAATGGTTCGAGAAATATTGACTATTTATTTATAATTATATTTAGTGGGATAGATAAATAAATAAAAAGGAAGAGATAAAGTGATTTAATCTTGATATTCTTGAAGTTACGGCTTAATCTTGATAATAAAAAAATTAGAATGGTTGGAGCTACTTTGATAATACGGCTTAATCTTGATATTCCTGAAGTGATTTAATTTCATTTAAGGTAACATTCTTACGAAGTTGAAAATTATTTCTTTTCGAAATCTAAAAATGCACCTTAATTTTTTTATGATAAAAGAATGAGATCCAGCTCATATGGTTGCTTGAGAAAATACTACTCAAGATCCCTACTATTACATTACAAAAACTTAATGAATTGAAGCTTTGGAAGTATGTGAATGAGGCAATATTAATTTGAATATAATGATTGGTTAAGATCGAAAACCTTCTTTTTTCTTTAGAGGCTGAATTTTATCCAATTCTTAATTAACATAATTGGTTTGGATAAATTAAATTGAAACAAATCAAGCTCCGGTTAAAAGGTGGGTACTTTGTTGATATCATCCGAGTTCGAGGTTTCTCTTCTGATTTAGATCATATATAGTGGTATCAGAGTCCGGTTCAAACTCAGCGGCAATTTTAAGATCTCCGATTCAAAATCAGCAACAAGGAGAAGATCTTATCAAGCAATGGCAGCAGAGCTAGAGCACGACAATATGATCTATACTCGTTGTTGGTTTAAGAGAACACATGTGTTCTCTGGTTATTGATGGAGAGATCAAATCCAATTTGATCAGTTCAAGGGCAGTAGCTAAGGGGTCGTTTGGTTTTGGTGATTGTTAAATAGAAGCATTGTCATCAATACATGCATAATAATATACATGTATATTAGAAAATCAGTGTATTGTAGTTTGGATCGTTTGGTTTATGTGATAGTTATTGTGTTATTTAAATATGTTATATTACTTTTTGGATGAAATGTCACTTTTACCCTTTGTTTGTAATATAAAAAAGGAAGACACATAAAAAGGCAGGGACAAAATTGGAAGAAAAAACACACAACAATCTCAACCAAACAATCTCACAAAAAACTTGAGATTTAACTATCACTCAATTTGAGTGATAGTTTGTGTCACCTCAAGCAAACAATGCATGCATTGTTTGTGCAGAAAATTCAAAATAACGATGCATTGTGAACAATGCATGTATTGTAACTATCCCAACAGAACAAAACCAAACGACCCCCTAAGTTAGGGCTAACTACACAACGACATCCTACCCGTTCTTTATGCAATTGTCGATGGAAAAGGCCTGGGTTTATTTTACTGAACAAGTGTCTTTGGAGATCAAAATCGAATCCTATGTGTATCAAATTCAATGTGATGCCGTGCTTATAAAGCTTACTCATGTGGTGCTTAGTCCATGGCACAATGATCGAGAAGCACGATGAAGTAGCAACACAAACAACATCATCTTAAGGCATCAAGAAAAGAAACTTGCCCTGAAGCTATTATTGTTGGAAGGGGTTGCCGAAGATAGGAGGCAATTACAACAAACCTATGAGGAGGAGCGGGCGAATCTGGAAGCAGAGAAATCGTCGATCAACTATCTAGAAACGTAGGAGAAGGTGCAGGAATCTCAAGCCACAATCAAGAGTGTACATGGAGGGTCTAGTTCCGTGGAGACCAAGGCATTGATGATAACACGTAGTGAAGATGTGAAGCCGACAATTAATGTCATCACCTACTCAAGTTGATTTTGTCAAGTTATGTTGTGCCCTAGATTTTACCTAAGGTACGATAGAAGCCACCATGTATATATATGGTAATGGCTGGTATACTTCAGGAGTATACCATACTCCATATAATATAACCGTTAGGTCTCCATTTTTGAGCTCCGACCAATCTCAATGACCAATTAATATTTTCTACTAAATTGAACTTCAGGTTTTAGTTTAGAGAATCGGGGCCTCAGGTATATCCATTAGAGGTAGGGTATAGTATCATACCTAAACCTTTGATTTAATTCAAAGTCTAGATAAAGATATCTCACTATGAGTAGCTGGAGTATTGTATACTCCATGAGTACACCAGTCTGAACCATATATATATGACTGCTATAATTTTATTAATGAATTATGATAAATTTGGCACTTTGTTAATAGAAAATGTTATTGGTGTGTTGCGGTATTAATATGTAAGAAATTTTATACATTCCTATAAACTAACATAATGGCCAAAGTTGAAAATTTAGAATTTACAAATAAATATAAATGTAAATTAGCAAATAATCAGTCTAATTCCTTAAAATACGTGTAGTAAATGTGTTATACGTGTTTAATACTTGAACTATTAAACAAAAAGAAAATAAGGCGACAACTTTATAATAGTACATAAATGAAAATTTATAACGCATTTAATAGAATATATTAGGGCTGGCATTTCGGTTAGTTCGGTTATCGGTGATAACCGAAATGTCGGTTCCGTTTAACCGAGGCACTAGACGTGACTACCGCCAACCACACCGAAGGTAACCTTTGGTTAGCCGGCAACCGACTGATCGGTTACCGGTTAGTTGTTCGGTTAACCGAAGTAACCGCGACATACACTGGCAACCGGTTGTAAACGACTAACCGAACTGGTAACCGAACCAGACATAACCCTTGTGCAGACAAGATCGATACAAATTGCCTAAAATTAAACGTTCAGCCTTACATTTCTACATCTAAATCACTCCACAAGTCAAGTTTCAATCATTTTTGCATACAAAATAGATTTAAATCACCAAATTAATGTCTCAAATACTAGAACATAAAGTCACAAACTTCATAAAGTCACAAATTACAAGTCACCACCTATTCATCACTTAATAACCGAAGAAGAACCAACATCTACATAACCCTTTTCTTTCAGTTGCAACAAGAGGTGATGACCAACATCCTCATATCCATCTTTCTCATACTCTTCCCCCGACACATTTTCTTCACCCTCCTGCTCATTCCCATCTGGAATGTTCTGACTTGCATCTGCATTGGCAACATTGCCAACATGACTTCTTGCACTTTCCATTCTAGACTGGAAAGTGGTATTAACTGAGTAAGAAAAAGGAAAACAAATTGTTAGAATATTCATACATTGAATTAGGTAGAAAGAAATAGTATTTGTTTACTTCAACAAACAATAATTAAAAGAGTTTTAGAACTTACCGCTTTCCAAATCCATGATCTCTTCATCTTCTTCCCTATCGTCATTATCTCCGGCCCCGACATCTTGATACTTTATCCAATCCTCTGCACAAATCAATGCCTCCAACATGATATCACTCAAAGAAGACCTGAATGGACTGAGAATCCGACTGCCACAGCTGAAGGTTGCCTCTGAGGCAACAGAAGAGATGGGAACAACAAGGATATCTTTAGCCATCTCAACAAGAATCGGATATGTTCCAGAGGGTCGAGACCACCAACTCAAGATGTCAAACTTTGCATCATCACTCTCCTCATTGATGCCATCAGTTTGACATCTTAAATAGATGTCAAGCTCAGCAGAGCTACCTCCTGTATCCTGCAGAAGTGCTTCCCTCTTCCTCTTTCTAATCCTCTCCTCTAGCTGCTTAATCCTATCACCAACAACCGTGCTCTCACCAGTGGTAGGCTCAGATGCATAGGAGGGTGCTTTTGATCCATACTTCCCTTTGTAAACCTCAAATAGCTGTCGCATTTCCTTCCTACTGCAGTCAACCATTTCTCCTCCCTTCACATTCCCATACATCATTGCCAAAACCTCGGACACCAAATCAAGTTTACTTCTTGGATCAAGCACACATGCTATATAAATTAAGTGGTTCACCTTCATGTTCTTCTCGTTCACAACACATGATTCAAACCAATACTTTTGTACCTTTTCCTCAACCTTCTCAGTCATCTTTTGGATCTCTTCAAGCGGATCATTCTTCAATTTCTCAATGATGTCATATACCGTAACAAGCTTCTTGAAGAAGATATGCATAGTCACATATTTAGTTCCTGTACAATGAGAAGGTACTACCAGAAGATTAGAATAACACAAATAGAAATGGTCAAATTGTTAAAATATTTAAAAAAAAACAATGCGGTTCAGGAATTTCACTTACCAGAGACTAGAAGGGTCAAGTCATTGAAGACTTTCAGATAGTCTCTCAACTTCCTAATCATCTGCCAATCTTGATTAGTTGGAAGCCCACCTCTTGAGTCCAGATAATCTCTAAGAGAATGATCGTGTGGACTTGAATACAAAGTTGTAAACACTGTCTCAAAACTTTCTGCTGACTCTAACATGGTATAACTGGAGTTCCACCTGGTCGGTACATCCAAAGACACCAGTTTGGTTGACTCCACATGCAGAAATTCCATGCCATTCTTGAATCGTAACAACCTAGTTGGTGAAGACCTCACCCACTTCACACAATTCCGAACTCTGTCCACAGCACCACCAACCACTTTCAGTCCATCTAGTACCACCATATTAATGATGTGTGCAACACATCGACACTGTAGAAACCTCCCATCGATCAAATCACACCCCCACTCCTTTAGCTTCGTTATCATGCACTCACTGACAACATCATTTGAAGTTGCATTGTCCATGGTCATGCAGAACAGATTCTTCACCTTCCACTCTTCAAGAACTTCTGCAAGCTTCTCTACAATATCAACTCCAGTATGACTTGTGATGGGAACAAAGGCTATCACCTTTTTCTGCAACTTCCAATCACCTCCAACAAAGTGAGCAGTAACACACATGTAATTCTTGTTGTTATCATAAGTCCATGTATCCGTAGTGATTGAAACTCTTCCTTGGCTCCTTGATTTAAAAAATTCAATTAAATCCATCTTTTTATCAAAAAAGATATTAAAGCAGTCATCTCTTTTAGCTTTCCTCCCGGGTATCCTAAACAGTGGCTGAACAGAAGACATGAATTGCTTAAACCCTTCCCTCCCACAGTAGCCAAACAAGGGTGCATGTGGTTATTCATTGCAGTGGTCCCATTTTTGTGAGGATGAGCTTTGATTAGAGTATGACAGTGTATGCACTCTCCCATCGGGTAGCTGTCAACTATCAACTTCTTAAACACCTTCCAACAAGAAGCTTTACCCACCGTCTTCAACCATTTCACGCAGTAAAAATGTCTCCTGTAGCTGTCTCTGAATCAGGAGCGCCCGTGTCAACATAAGGAGTCTCGTTAGGAGTCTCGGCAGGTGTACCGGCAGGTGTACTTCCACTATCGACAGGGGCGGGAATTGATGGAGTTGATGAAGACGGTTCAGCTTCAGGTTGTTGAACAGGTCGACTTCCTGTACGCCCACCACGACCCCGGGTCTGAACAGGGGCACTCGCACCACCACGACCTCGAATCGCCGGAGGTCTCCCACCACGAGGAGTAGCAGCAGCAGTAGGGACACCTCGTCCGCCACGTCCACCACGAGGAGCTGGAGGTCTCACCCTACAAAAACAATTACACAAAGTCACAAATTGAGACCCAAAGAGCAAAGAGAGCCAAAGAGCAGTGAAAAAGCAGAAGAAAAGACTTGTACATCATTATTTGAAACAAAGAACTAACGAAGAAAAGAAGTCTTATCATTAGCAGAAAGAGTTTGAATTGAAATTACAATTCCTAGCTACTGAATTGTGCTCTCGATCTCAATTCCAAGTAGTATAAATTCCCAACCCTCCCAAATTACAACTTCCCAACTTCCACAATCCAATCTCAACTTCCCCACCCTCTCATTCTTCCCAACGACCAATTAACCACCACCTGCTTATTCTCTCTCAAAACCCAGAAACAGAAACCTCAACAAGTCAACAACAATGGCGCTCCCTCACTCTCCTTCCCCTTCCTCCTCCTAACTCTCTTCCTCCTTTCGTCCCTCTATATACCAAAACATGGGATTCACAATTATGATGAGCATCTTATCTCATTCAAACAAATCATATACTTTTACAAATTACAAACACTTACTTAATTCTTCAATGGAGGGGTGCAGGGTGCGAGCAGAGGAGTGGCCCAGCGCCGGCAGAGCTCTCGACACCGGGGTCGCCCTCGCACAGGCCACAGAGGAGGCGGGTTGGCTGGCGGCGAGCAGAGGAGTGGCGCGGCGCCAGCGGGTTGGATGGCGGTTGCTGGCTGCGAGTTGGATGGCGGTTGCTGGCCGCGAGCAAAGGAGTGAAGCGGCACCGGCGGAGCTCTCGACAGCAGAGGAGTGGCTGGTGACGGCATCGCCCTTCAGGGTCGCCTGGTCGGGGAGGGAGAAGGGAGCGGCGGCGTCTTCTCTTCTTCGCGATGCAGATTGCAGCAGAGGAGAGTGAGGGTCGATTGCAGAGAAGGAAGCCGCTTTGATTAGGGTTAGGAGAGTGAGGGGTGCGGCGTCGTTTTCAATTGCCGGTTAGCTATGCAGGTTAGCCAGTTAACCGGGGGTTATCACCGTCGGTTAGCCGGTTAACCGGCACAGGCAACCCTACTACCGCCAACCGCCCACAGCTTCATTTTTCGGTTAATCGGTAACCGGCGGTTATCGGTTTAATCGTCCGATTAACCGGTAACCGCTAACCGAACGGCCAACCCTAGAATATATGTATGGATATTAACCAAATGTTTACTAACTATTTCAGGGTCCTTCGACATGCATTAAGTTATGTTGTATAAAAAAGAGTTTCTATATGGTTTTTAACTTAGCAATTCAAGAAAGTGGTCTATATTTATTCAAAGGTAAATAAATATGTTTAGCACGAGCTAAAAAATATTGGTCTGAACTTTAATTTCTAATCCATTACTAATATCATTGCTTTTTTCTCAAAGAAATGATAAGTGCATGTAAATTTCAAAGCAACTACGAAGAAAATGTGTTTTGAAGACTACTTTATGAAGAAGAATACCGGTTACTCAATTCAACAAGATTCTTGCTGAGCTATTGATATTATGTTCATCAGAGCCATCTCATTCTTCTGTCTCTGAACTTCAAGTTACATAAACATTTCTTACTTTATTATTTTGATATAGTAATTGAGTTGATAATGTTCATTTATTGGCGATTCGTTGGTATGGCCGGTGGAAAACTATTCTCTTTCTTTAAAACTACTTTTTTAAAAGTAAATTACAACTATCTTGATGTCACCTAATATTGATATTTACGAAGTGATTGAATTTCACTCAAGGTGACATTATTAAATGAAGGTATGGAGTATTTACCAAAAAAGAATGCAGTTGAAGTCCATATTAAGTTTATTGATTAAATTATTATTAAATCACAAATTTGAAATTTCATGACCGAATTAATAGTTTTGAAGAGTATCAATAATGGCAAAAAATAATCTCTAACAAACATTTCTAATTATGATGAGGTAAACTGTTTTGCCATAAAAATTATATTTCATATATGATTATGTTTTATTGTTTTAATTCGCTTCGCGAATTTTTTTGAAAAATGCAGGTTGATAACGAAGATAGTGAAGTTGATGATGGATATTCTTGATAGTAAATTGTAAAGAGGTATTGATACTAGTCATTTTGTGATACCTACAATATCGTGTCATTACGTTTATTATGAGTTGATTATTGTTGATTTACCCTTGCACAAGTCATATCTTTTCAATTTTAACAAGAATATGTATAGAAGGCACCGATTGCAATTTTAGTAATCTTTTATGACGGATGTTAATTTTCTATTTCCCAAGTAATTGAATATTTAACTTTATTGATGGTAAAAACTAAAAAACTGTCTTGCTATTTGATAAAAAATATATAATTGTTTGTTAATTTGCATGTCATTGACATATAATAGTGATACGAATATAAGAGAAGATGAAATCACCGAAATTTAAATTTGAAGCTTTGTTAATTGCTGTTATATTGCAACCGGCCAATGGGCCTTGGTACTATCTAGTATTTAATAAACTGATTCTAGATTAATCTCTAATAATCTCTCATCGACGAAAATATACAATTTGTTAAGTCAACATAATTCACTAGGAAACACACTAAATAAACCATCCCCGACTCCCAAGCCTGTGAGCCACATTGAAGCGAGTTCTAAAGGATGGAAGCAACAGAATCGAATTGGGACTAGAATGCAAGAAATTACAACTTAATATAAGAAAGAAGGTGCAGGCCAGGAACAGCGCTAACCTCAGAATATGAGAACCATTGGATGCTACGTACCAAGCGGCACCGGGTGTTCCTCCAAACACTTCAGTAATGAAACGAGCTAGCCGGCCGGCCAATAACTCTCCACTTCATGAACAGATCAACATCACTATAATCCCAGCGGCCCCAGCTCATTAGTGAAGTGTTCAGAGGAACTCTAGGGGACGCCTGATCTGATCTTTTCCTTGGATCTATTTCCAAATTTCGAGCAATATGGTGTTGTACTGATGATGCTGAATGTTGAATACAATGGCTTGCTGCAGAGCTCTTTCTATTTATAGTGAAACCTCGAAGCTGGAGGGACAGCGAATGGCCGCACATTGAGATTCGGTACGGTTATGAAACTAGACGGGAAGGAGATGCGTCAGATGGCTCAGTAACATGTGACCCTCTGCAATTCACTTCTTTTTTGAGGGGAATATCCCACTGTCCTTTTAATTGTGTCATATGGCCACAATGCTAATATCTTGATTGCCTCCTTTGTTTTTGGACGCTAGGGATGGTGAATCTGGACAGAGAGAGTGGGTAAGTGAAGAAAGAAGAAATGGAGGGAGAAACGTCAGAGGGGTGGCAGCGGATAACATGGCAGCATAGTGATATGGGTACGTACTACTTCCATAGTAGTAGTGATCTCTTTCATTGTAACTTCAGTAACAATAAAATAAAACACTAATTCTAATACAACACTGCAACAATGTAAAAATGTTACTTAGCTTGTGCCCAATTTCATTTAATATTTCAATCGTATCTGTGTCTCAATGTACAAGTTTGTTGTGATATTTGTAGTCTGACTCTTTTGTTGACCATTAGAGATAACAGTTAACCAGACGATAGTCAAACCCATGTTCATTTATGGTGACTTGGCAACAACGTGACAGCCACGTCAATGACACATCAGATTTTTTTAATTTAAAATTAAATAATATTCTAAAAATAATCACAACAGATCACTAAATAAAAAGGTTAAACCAATATTTTCCCTATTTACTCACAGACCACAGTCCCTCTCCAATCTGCATATCCCACCCACTCTTTTTTCTTTTTTGTCAAAAGATATCATGTATTGATCAAAAAATAGACAGTTACACCCTGGAAACTAGCCAGGCCTGAAAATCAAAGAAGCGACTCATAGTCGGATACAAAGAAAGGGCTTGTCTAGTAGGGGTGGCTATACGGTCCGGTCCAGTTAAATTGGCCCAAATTGATCCGGTCCAGTCCGGTCTTTTTGAAAATATAAGGACCGAAGATTGGATTGGATACAGTCCGGTCTTGATCCGGTCCGGCCCCAATTCGGTCTTGATTTTACATTGAGATTGTGGGATTTGAGTGGCCTAAGGCCTTAAAGGGTGAGGAGTTGGTTAAGTTTTGTACTAAGTGCAAAGGTTTGTGACCGTTTATGCAAATTACCCTTAAGTTTTGGGTGTTGAGCTCTCTTATCCGGTCTTTATCCGGGTTTTTTTACCTCAAATCTAAGCCCAAAGATTGGATTGAATTGTTTACTATCCGGTCCCGGTCCGGTCTCGGTCCGGGTTATACGGTCCGGTTTCCGGTTTTTAATCCGGTCCCGGTCCAAATAGCCACCCCTATTGTCTAGCTACCAAATGAGCTACCCTATTGTTCTCCCGACCTACAAAACGCACCCCAAAGCCAGGCTGAGAGCGAAAATGATGACCAATCTCTTCCAGAACGGCACCCAGCCGGCTATCTCTCGTGTCGGCTTGATTAATTTTTCATATCTCACCCACTCTCTTTCTCTTTTTTAAGAAAGAAAAAAAAAATACCGGGGCCCTTCCAATTCCTTCATTCTCGCTGTTCGGCAGATTTAGTGGCGGACCTAGGATTGTTGGAGAGGTGTGTCGCCGCTAACATAGAATAATAATTAAATAAAAAAATTAAGTAGAAATTAAAAGAAATTAATTTATGAAGTTCACAATGTCATTTTACAACGAATCATGACGACTTTTCATCTGCTGAAATGTCTCTAAAATACATTCATCACTTATGCTGCAAAGCAAATGTTTTTCAATATACACAACTTAACAATCATTTATAAACAATGATATTATACTCTAACCCCCAATGTGTGAACCGCAATCCCCAATTCACTAACCTAACATAAGATTCATTTAATCTTGAAAAATGAAAATTAATGATTCTGATTCGTCGAAATTATTGTTGAGTTTCATTTTAAGATTGACCAAATTTTGCAGTTTGGTTTAGAAAATTAGGGATTGGGGTTCACCCATTAGAGGTTAGGATATAGGATCATGCCCCAAAGTCCGGTTAATTATTTATCTTAATAGCAAAACCCAATTGCCGTACGGTGGTCGGACGTACGCTAGTCTAAACTTATATTTATATATTTTGATAACTTATGACAATAAATTTCCATAAACACAATGGAGTTGTGTCGGATACAATGATCAGAGGTGTGTCGGAAATCCCGAGATCAAAATTTTAGTACCGACGAATTAGAGGTCTTTCACAAAATTTTCGGGCGGAGGTGTGTCAGATGACACACCTCCCTTGTGCCTAGGTCCGCCCCTGGACAGATTGAGCTATGGTATGCTTGGAATGGGTTAACTTTGTTTGTCGTACTAAATTCGAATTCATAAGGAGTAGTTAGTTCTCCTTGATTGCAGACGAAGACTCGAAATGTTCAAATAAAGAAAAAACAACAAAAACTCTTCCTCATCAATAGATCGATACTCCTAGTTGCTACTTCATTAATGGATTCGATCCGATCCATTGTGATCCCTAGAGATACATATATGTGTGTTCGAAGCAATGATAAATATTGATTTAAGGATAGTTTTATCAACTAGCTTATAACCCGGCCCTTTGGTCGGAATGCTCATATTTGATTATTTGTATTTTTATGTTACTTTTAAGTCTATTAACCCGTTTAATCTTATTGATAATCATTCGATCGAAGATGATACATAAAGAAATAATATATAGGTCGAACATTCGGAGAAATATCATAATCATTTAAGAATATAAAATATAAAAATGTATCATTGACCCCATTTTCATAATGCTAATTAAGTCCCTGTTAAAATGCTATTGGTTAGTTTTCTTTGACAGTCAAGAAATATAGAGTATAAAAGCTCACTGAAATTCTCACACAACCCATAGATAGTTTGAAACTAAATCTTAAACCTCACAATCCTATATAAAGGGTTCAATGCTCTCCTTTTAGAAACAATATGTAACTAATCAAAAAGAAATGAAGAGTTGTTGATTCAAGTCATCTATATACTAAAAACTCAGCTAAGAGGGGACCATCACAACTTGAGAGCAAACGAAAAAATCAGGGTTATCTCCAATATATGAATAGACTCGATCAAAGTAATAAGGCGCAAAATTAGACACTCCTTATCTATTAGTTCCAGTAGGTTGAATAAAGAAGCGACCTATTTCAAACAATCAATCAATGATTCCTCGTTTTAAGATAGAAATAAGTTATGACAGTTGCAAAAACCATAAACCTAAAGATCCAATAGCCACCACTCTCCGTTGTACAACCAAATTTCTATCTCAAGAGGCATATATTCAACCAAAAATTCAATTTCTAATCTTCCTTCTACAACTTCAGTTATTGATGTACTCCATTCTATTCGCCATGAATTGATATCGGAGTTGAAATCTTCTTCTCGCCCAGCTTAAAATCCCCAACAATAAAACCGTAGTGCCAAGAGATACCTGAAGATTGATTTTCAATGACAGTCCTATACTAGGAAGTGAAAGGCGCAAACTATTGCACGATGGATGAAATTTCAGAGGAAGTTAGAAAGAGAAAAGAACAAAGATAAAAATACACAAAATTTAAATTGAAAAATGCAAGGATACAACAGTAGTTACATAATTAGTTTCTTCCATGTTGGCCAATTACCCACTTACCTTTAGCAAAAATTAAGGAGAGAGCGAGAATTTAAAATTGAGAAAATTACATAAAACTCTACTATGAAAATAGAAGTATAAAACTCGATAAAAATACATACGATAGACTTACTGAGCTTGCTAATTATGATGAAAAAGTCCTCTGATTTTCAGAGATTAACTTTGTCTATTTTTTGTATAAAAATGGATGCATTAAATTTGTTTAGTGTAACTGGTTGTGATTGTTATCATTGTTTGAAGAGACCCGGGTTCAAATCTTGATATTGCTATTTTTATATGAAATAAATAATAAATGTGTAAAGACAAAAATGACCTTCCTACTTTCACTCTCGTTGCACGAAATTTGAAATGGAGAAAAATACACAAAACTCTACCATATATTAATGGAGGATGTATTAAACTAGCTAGGGTCATGTGTGGTTCTGTTATTTCTACTGATAGAATCAAAGTGTTGGAAACAAAGCTTGTGAGCAGGAAAGGAAAATATAAACCTCTCAGGAGACATATCACATAAACGAACTCAGTTGATGGTAGGTGTTTGGTCATCAGTTTGCGGATATTGGAGATGATGTTAAAGCTAGAGAGGATAACATAAAGAAAATGATAGATAAAGAGTAAGCATGAGAAACGGCATCCATTAGCATGTTTACACAGTAATAGTGTGAAAACAGGTAAGATGCTATACCGAAAAGTCAGTGGTCGGATATTTTATGTTAAAATCGTAGTTCAGTGATTTTTTATTGTTAAAATCATCTATCATTTGGGACTAGTATTGGGATTTCCTGTCCGTCCGGTTTCTCAAACATTGCAATTAACCCACAAAATGATCAATGATCATAGATATGGTGCCTTTTACGGTACCCCGGATGAAATTTGGGGTACCGCATACCTTGAGTATGAAAACGCTATCTATACCTCGAATTAGCTGGGCATGATACTATACCCTAACCCTTAATGAGTGAACCCTAGGTCCTAATCATCTAAATCATAAATTATAAACCCTAAGATGGTGCATTGATTTTCTTGCCTATATTTGGACGAATCATAATCATCGATTATTGTTTCTAATTAAATTGATCTTGTGGTATAAGATTTAGAGAATTAAGACCTAGATTTTTATCTTTTAAGGCTTCGAGTATAATATCATATCCGAAAATCAGTCAATTCAAGTTCTGGATAACGTTTTCTTACTCAATGTATGCAGTACTCCGGATTTCACCTTAATTAAGCATCGTAGAACTCCCCATAGATATATATAGATCGCAAAATGCACAATTTAATGAGTATAATTTAGAAAATGCGCAAATGAACGACCATAATTAGCATGTTTACACTGTAACCGAATTGACCTATGGACGTTGGATACCAGCGGAAAGAAGATCAACAAAAGTTGAGATTCCAAAGGAAAGAGAAAAGCATCCACCATCTGTTTCTTTTGCGGTACTACTCTTTTTTCGTTTTTTAACTGACGTTCCAATGAAAGAGATCACTACACTACTATGGAAGTAGTACGAACCCTATCACTATGCTCCCATGTTATCCCCTGCCTCCATTCCTTCTTTCTTCACTTACCCACTCTCCCTGTCCACATTCACTTTCCCTATGGCCAAAAAGAAGGATCAAGATGTTAGCATTCTGACGCATCTGCACGTAGTTACTTTACGTAATCAGGTACTCCTACTTGCTACAATTCTAGCCATGCATGTAGTTGGGCAAAAAGGAACCTGAAGATTGAGGGTAGAATGATGCGATAGTTTGATTCCCACGATTTCCTTTGAAGCTATAGCTAGAGCCCGAATCCCGTTTAGTTTCATAATCGTACAGAATCTCTATATGCGGCCATTCGCTGTTCCCTCCAACTCCGAGGTTTTGGGTATAAATAGAAAGAGTTCTGCAGCTAGCAAGCCATGTATTCAACGTTCAGCATCATCAGTACAATTCCATTGCTCGAGATTTAGAAATAGAAAGAAATGATCAGCGTCCCCTATTCCTCTGAACACTTCACTAATGAGCTATGGGGGATCTCTTTATGAAACAGAACATACGTTTTCTTAATTACTGAAGTGTTTGGAGGAACTCCCGGTGCCGGCATGTTGTACCCCAAACGCTCGAGAATCAACGGCCTCCAACCACCTTCATGTTTACTTGAGTTGCCGATGATGGCCTCTCCAGTGACCGGCAGCCCGGTGAGTAGGGCAACATCTCTGAGGGTGATCTTCATTTCCCCCTCGGGAAAGTGGAAGGTATGCACTTCGGGGCGCCATCGCTCTGCCATTGCCGTAAGCAGATCGTTGTCGATATCAAGCCGCATGAAATGCCTCAGCATGTGCAATCCCGTCCTCTCCAGATAGAGCTCGAGACTTTGCGATCCCTTGGGCCAGGATCGATATACAAACGAGGGTCGTATATCTCAGCACCCATCTATAAACAAATATGAAATGAAATTAGAATATTTCAAACCCGTTTAAAAAAACATCAACAAAGGTGAAAACAAAATTCGTACTCTTAGAGCCTCTTAGTCCAATTTTTTGCCGAAAAGCTGGAGAGAGTATCTACGAAACTTTAGAGCAAAAGATTTAAAACAAAATAAAAACTCTAGTAATTCTTTCTGATGTGGAAGATCGGACTTAGACGCAACCACAGAGCATACTTAGAACGAGACTAGAGGGAAGTAATGGATGGAGAAAGAAGTAAAAACAGTGAAGCATTTGAACCACAGCGGTGAAGCATTCATCGTTTTAGTCAAAAACGGTGAAAGGTTCACCGTTTTGGACAAAAGCAGTGATAGTTTCCCCGCCTTTGTAAAAAACGGTGAACCCTTCACCGTTTTTGTTTGCAATGGTGATGATATTCACTGTCTTGGTCCGCAGCGGTGAACCCCAAACTGTTGTATTTAGGGAAATATTTTCATAAGTACTGTATTTTGGGAATTGTTTTTACTAACTAGTGTATTCTGGGATTTTTTTCCGACCATTTAATGGGGTTTATCTTCATCTTCCCACAGCTTTCGGCGGGATTTTTCCAATAATAGCACCTTTAATTTTTTTTTAACAAAAATAGCATCCAGCCGAAAATATTTACACTAACAACACCCTTTTATATGGACCGCACCTCCAAGGTGCGTTTTATATGTAAACCGCACCTGGAGGGTGCGTTTTATGTATAAAATGCACCTTGGAGGTGTGTTTTGCGCCACGTCAAACTGGGAACCGCACCTTCAAGGTGCGGTCTGTGTTTCCCCGGGAGCGGCCTTGGAGACTGCAAGATCCAGCTTCGATCCAGCGGCGGACCGCTTGCCACCTCAGCGATCCGCGCCATGGATTGCAGACCGTAGCGGCAGGGAGCGGTCAACCCTCGGGGAGCGTAAACCGCGCCGGGAAGGTGCGGTTTTGACTGGGGAAAAATTACCAAACCGTTCCTGAAGGGTGCGGTCTGATGGGTATAAATACCCCCTCCCCCCCTCTCATTTTTTTCACACCACAACCATTCTCCACCCTCTCTCTCTAGAATTAGCTCTCTAACCCCTCCCCTCCCCTCCCAAAAGCCTAGGAAATAGTGGTCTGTTGGTAGCGGCTATGTCCGATCTGCCATCAGAAAACATTTCTTTAGTTTTTCCCTCAAAACCCGTCCGCCGAATTTCTGTCAGACGTCGAATCTCTGTCCGACTTTCGCGAGAAATGAACGAGTGGTTCCAAGAAGAGGGAGTTTATTATGATGAATTTCAAGCGGTACGTAATCATTATTTTGGTCAATTTTTGTTTTTGTTATAAGCTTTTTAATTAATACATGTACTAACCTTGTTGTTATTCTCTCGTAGGTTGGGGACGACGTGAATATATACAACCAACGGTACTATTTGGATCAAAGGCCTATTGATGCGATCGACTTGTATGACCAACCCAACCATCGTTCAAGGGATGTTTGGAACGATCACCCGGTACATACAATTCTTCATCATTTATCTTTTTTTTTTTTTTGCTAATGTACTTAGTGGAATATAAAATTAATTTGAAATAATTTAATCGTATTGGTTGTTTTCAATAATTTAATCGAATACATAGCGGCACTTACTTCTACTCTTTATAAAGAGATGCACGTCTAAGGAAATGGGGTTTTAAGCGATTATCATGATCTTCCAATTTCCTGGGAAAATCGGGTATTAAGATCTTCGGATCCCCTCTTTTTCTGTCAAAAAGGCTGCGTTTCTAAGAAGATGTATACCTCTTCTAAGAGTCTAACGAGTGTTGCATTGTATTCGATTAAATTATTTAAAACAATCAGTACGATTAAATTACTTACCAAACAACCAATACAATTTATTTTTATGTGTACTTAAATGAATTTATTAATTTCAAATGTTTGAATATGTATGTATCTCCTTAAATTATTATTCATTTAGAATGTTATTTATACCAATTAATTTAGTATGTTTGTCTTATGACTATATGTATATATCTTGGAAAAAACCGCAAATTACTTAAATTTTGATTGTTAATAATATAATTATATTCTAAATTAAATCAATAATTTTAATTAATTTAGTTATAAGACTAAAATATTACTTATATATCATAAATAATTTTAATAATGGTTGAAATTAAATAATTAATTTTGATTTATTTAGTTATAAGACTAAACTATTACTTATATATCATAAATAATTTAAATAATGGTTGAAATTAAATCATTGCTTTTAATTTATTTAGTTATAAGACTAAACTGTTACTAATATATCATAAATAACGTTGAAATTTTTGCTAGGAGGCACAACAAATACTCCGCTACTGGGGTACGACCAATGTGCTCCCATGGAACCCAGTTATCTTGACCAATGTGCCCCTAACCGAGGAAAGTTCGGAGCTGGAGAAGGAAATATATGCTCGTGTCTATCTCATGGGCATGATAGGAGGAGTGTTCTTCTCCAAAAAATCGAGCAATTTAATTAGTTGCGGATGGCTTAGGATCCTCCTTAGTAGTTGGAATGAGATGGGGGAGTTGAGCTGGGCATCCGCTTGCCTAGCTAATATCTACCACCACTTGTGCAACGCATCTGTCAAAGCTGTGAGGGAGGTCGGCGGCGCAATGTTCATCGTCCAGTTTTGGGCTTGGGAGCATCTGCCATGGATTGCACCGCTCCAATGTCTTGACAGGAATTGGGGTCCCGATCATCCCCTAAGACTCAAAGCTTATGGTTGTAGGTAAATTTCTCATACCCCATCATGATTTTATAACACAATTTTCCTTAATTATTAATAAGGTGGGTTGGAGCCTCAACATGCGACAACCTTGCCCAACACAAGTTGGTAGAGTATCGGAGGAGGCTAGAGAGACTTTGGGAAGGAGAGGTAACTAGAAAACTTCTAAGTGCTATATTTTTTTTTTCATGGAGTACATGTATTTTTCCAATAAGATTTAACTTAAGTTACTAATATTTTTTTGTAGATCAAATTCGATCCATACCCAGCAAACATCGTTCATTGGCATTTACAGCAATTCCCCGAGAATATCGGGCAATGGTGCACGAGGGTCCCTCTCATTTGTTTAGGGACCGTGGAGTGGCACCTGCCGGATCGATGCCTTCGTCAGTTTGGTCGGGAGCAGTGCATTCCGTTGGAAGTCCCCGAGAGTCAAAGGGCGTTTCACGGTCGAGATGGTCGGCAAGGTACTCACGATTGGCCCACAAAGTGGACAGAATTGATCGCGGTATGGGAGAACCGACAACTTCATGATATTGTCACTCCAACAAGTGTGGGTCGAATGGGGTATCATGACCCATACATGGATAGATATCGGCAAACATCGGTTTGGTACGTGACTCCGGAGGGTGCGGCCGATGGTGCATTGGTAAGTATATTCTGTCTAATAAGATTATATTTATTGCTTGTTACATTCTGTCACATTTCTTATCTTGCTAACCTTTTTGTGATTTAGGCTGATGGGATCGAGCGGATCAAAGCGTTGACCCATGGGAAACATGAAATGGGACATGAAGATGTGAACTTCATCAGGAGGATGACAAAGAGTCTGCTTGGCTGTATCAGAGCACAAGGTCGTGATCATCGTAGATACCCACCCATGCCCGCACCGGTGCCACCTCCGGTACAAGTTGATGTCCCCCATCCCCCACCACCATACGAGAGAAAGAAAAGAAAGAAGGTTCGGGAAAGACCTCATGAGCCCGAGATAAAGCCGTTACCGGTGTGGAGAGTGCCGACCCCCTTGGTTGTGTCACACGGTGGCGGTCCGAGATCACATCAAGATCCCCGCCCAAACCACTCCCAAGATCCCCGCCCGAGCTTGTCCCAAGATCCCCGTCCGAGCCACTCCCAAGATCCCCACCCCACCCACTCCCAAGATCCCCGCCCGACCTACCATCATGAGCAATTCCCAAGCTCATACAATGATCCCCGCCCGAGCTACCATGAATCCCCTCCGAGCTACCATCAATCTCAATATGATCCCAACCCGATCTAATACAACGATCCCTGCCCATCATACTATGATCCTCGCCATACATACTATGATCCCCGCCAAAAATTCTTCAACGAACCCCCCACATCCTCGGGTACTTGGCATGATGGTTCCTCCACAACTGCGCATCATGACTTCAATCCCATTCCTCTCCCAAATCAGCAGTGGCCTCCTACTCCTCACCGAATGAGCGTCGATGTCCCCCGCTCGACCCCGGAAGCGCCGCATACCACGGATCCACGCCGACTGATGACTCGATATTTACACATGTTTTCCCCTTTGTTTCTTGTTCGTTTAAGCTTGCATCATTGCTTCTTTGTCCTATTTTACGCTAGGTTGTGTTCCTTTGTCACATTTCAGGTCCTAGCACATAAAGTGAAGCGTGGGCGCAAGTTTCAAGTCAATCGGAGATCAATTGGCGACTCAGGGGAAGAAACTCGGGTATGATTTGAAGAAGAAGGGATTTCTACCTCCGTTTGTAACCATATAATCATGTAATCTTGTCATGAGAAGAAAGAGGACGAGACTACGAGCGTCTGGGATCAAACGGCAACTGATTTGTAGTCCGAACGAGGGAGAAACGAAGAATCAAAGATAGGGGAAAATTGGTTTCGGGCTTCTCTGAGAAACAGAAGGGGGCCCAATCTTGAACCAAAAATCCCTGGTCGTGAGCCAAAATCCCCGGTCGTGACCCAAAAATCCCCGGTCGTGACCTAAAATACCCGACCGGGTATTTTGACCGGGGATCGCGAACGCAAGCTGTTAAAAGCCTGTTTTGTGCGTTTTTTCAATGGGGAGCTGGGTTTTGGATCCCAAACACCCAAGGGACGAACCAAAGAAAGAGAGGGCGATTTAAGGGCACTCTTGGAGTGGAATTGGAGGATTTCTTCGCCTTGGAAGCTCGAGGAACAAGCCCGAACTTGAAGACTGATCATCTGAAGATTCTTACTGCAGTCTCTCTCTTCTCTATGAAGTAACTTCCCTTCACTTAGGTTTTGAGGAACCCTAGCTATGTTTGTTTGATTGGATGATTGTATGAGTACTCTGACTTGATAACCTTGAGTTCATATTCAATCTATGCATGTTTTCATGATTCAATTCTGCTTTAGTCGAGATTATTGATTCTGCTTTGATCCTATGAGGGCGAATACCTGATTAGGTCAATAGAGCACCATAGATTGATAGTATTGGATCGATTGCGTTAGTCGAGGGTTGGTTCACTGCTTTGTATTGATTGAGAACCTCATTCGATAGAGGTAATCTAGTTCAGAACGCCTTGATCGGTTGTTCTAGAGAAGGATACGTCCCTCTAGGCAATTGACTCAAGAGGGCCTTGTTCCTTTAGTCGAGACTCAAGGTCTAGTCAAGGATTCTCCGCATTGTGAATGAAAGTGAAACAAGTTAGAAATCATTAATCGTTAATCTGGCTAGTGGCTAGGGGGAATCATACCTAAGTGAGTTCCCAACCTGTAATTAGATTAACTTTAACTGTAGTTTGCTAGAGTATTTTTAGTTCTTTCATCTTAATCTAGTTTGCTAGATAATGAACTGAAGCTGAGTAATAGTAACTCTAGAGCCCCGTGGATTCGATATTTATTACTTGAGCCACTATACTGCAGTCCCTT